TACGGGCCCAACGGACGGGACGTGTACGGGTTACCGTAACGCAGGGACGTCCCACTTAGTCTAGAAATACTTCTTGGTACGAAACGTACTCTAAAATAAAAAAAAAAAAGACTTGAAAACCAGCCAACATTATAAATAACGTGACAAAAATTCTAAAAGTATCTAACATTGTACAGAATCGTACCATGTTACGAATTTTAAAGTGTACTTATACACTAATGATGTATTTCTACCGTATATTTTAGTAGGAATTTGTGACATTTGAAAGTTTTATATAAAAAGTAGTGTATTAAATAAACTATTATCAATTTCATTTTTCTGATGCGAAGTAAAGCTTTATTTATGGACTATAATACTTAATATTAATAGTATTAGAATGTTTATATTTTCATCTTAAGTTAGTATTAAACTTACTTGAATGTAGGTTTATTTTGGATTTCTAGATTGGTCTTGTTTGTAAATGTATTAATAAAAATTCTTTCACTTTTTTATCATATTTTCTCTATGTGTTATATAGAAGTCTAATATATATATTATGTATCTAGGATATGTTATATAGAAGTCTAATGTATATTATATATCTAAGTTACTTGATAAAAACATCATTCTTTGTGTTGTAGTGTAAATTTTATGAGTAATTCCAAACATTTGTTGTAATGTTACTTTTACTTATATGAAATGAAGGGTGTGAATTTTTGTGAAAAAGATTATTATTAGCTTGGCTTCTAAGCGTAAATCACATGGCTTGAACAAACGGTAAAAATGGTCATGTTCAACATGAGCAAACTGTCAGAGAATTAGTCTTCACTGGTAACAGACATTTGCTTATAGTTTGTCGTGTTGAGCACACCAAGCCCCAGTCAGTTTTCCAATCCGTAAATAGAGTACACATCGGCGTATCTTCCTTTGTACAGCACTTCTCTAAGTGTCTTTATTCGAGTGGGGAATTTCTTGTTGTTTAGCAATACATTCAAGAAGCACTTTGTAATGAAAAATAATGTAACAAAATTAAAGGTTGAATTTTATTGTTTCATTCTCGAAACATGTCCATAACTTGCCACTGGAAACACCAATATAGCAGTGTAAAATAATGTAGTAAAATTAAAGGTTGAATTTTATTTGTTTCATTGTTTGAAAGATATTCATAACTTTCCACTGGGAACACCAGTATTTCTTTATTTGGTCTAAACAACTTAGGAGCAAAACATTAAGCACATAATTTATTGCAAATGTGACACATTTGACTGTTAGTAATGCTAATGTATATGAAATCAGACAACGTTTTTTTTTAAAATGGTAATAAGTACAAATAGTACCTAACATTGACCCTTTACAGTAACTTAGAAGAGCTTATAAATCCAGGCACAATAAAGTTCATCTAATATCTGTTTTCAGAAAGTTCTAAATGTTAAGTGTTGTTGTCTCCCAAGATGTGTAATGTTATGTATTATTGTCTCCGAAGATGTTTAATGTTATGTGTTATTGTCTTCTAAAGTGCATAATGCTATGTGGTATTGTCTCCCAATATGTGTAATGATGTGTGTTATTGTCTCCCAAAGTGCATAATATTATGTGTTATTGTTTTCTAAAGTGCATAATGTTATGTGTTATTGTCTCCTAAGGTGCATAAGGTTATGTGCGTTGTCTCCCAAGATGCGTAATTGTGATATTGTCTACCAAAGTGCGTAATGCTAAGTGTTACTGTCTCCAAAAGTGCGTAAAGTTCTGTGCATGATTTCACTTACTTATAGATCAACTTGAAGAAAATCTTAATTAATTTTCCAAAGATAAGTAAACGTATTTGTAATGAGCAATAAAACATAGTGTATTTATTGATTTTATTGAACGCACGTACTTATCCCCGTTTATAGTTAACTTAAAGTTGCTTTTGCATAAAGGGAAACATAAAGGTTAGCACAGCACACTGTATAAGACGTGAAAGGAGAAATAAGTTAGCACACTGTATAAGGTGTGAAAGTGAAACCACACTGAAATCATTCAGTCATCGGTTTTTGGAAAACAATATCATATTTTAATACATTTAACTTGTATAATAAGGTGATTAGAAAGTTGTATCATCCAAATCTGTTTTACAATCGTATGTAAAGCTATTATGAGTTTTAGTTAGTTCCCAGCCTGTCACATATTTTCTTGACTGAAATACTTGGCAAAATGTCTTGAGAACGCTGTGTATGCTTCCCATGACAGCCGAGTAGTTAACAGTTAATTTATTAAAGTTTTAGGGAAATGCTATTAAAAGTTATTTCATGATCATCACTTCAAATACAAGAAAACTTTCATACAAATATCCACTTTTTAATTTCATTTATTATTCTATATTAATTTTGCTAAATGATATCGTTACATGTTTAGATGTAATGCTTTTCCATTGCTTTTTGAGGTGATTCAGGACTATAACTTATATACCGGAATCTGACCCAGCTATATGAGACATTACTGGAATTGCAAAGGACCCCTAAGTGGTGCTTCAATACAAGTAATAATTTTAAGTTTTTGTTCCAGCGTGTACTCTTTATAAAAGTCGTATTTTGATAACAAATTATTTATTTTCCATTACTAGTTATTTTTCTTTCAAAATATGTTCACTTGCAGTAGGTCAAGCGGTAAGCTTGAGGACATATAACACCAAAATGCGGGGTTCGACAGTGCAGATAGCCCATTGTGCAGCTTTATGTTTAATCAACTAAACTTTCAAAATCTATCAAATTCGAGATTTGGTACATGTCGTTAACTATAATACTAGAACTGTTGTAAATAAAGTTAGATTTTGTTCATTTATATATGTTTTAATTAAAATGTTTCATTTTTTTATTTCATCACAATCCGATGCTAGAATACATTACTGCAACAAGTTTATTGTATATAGTAATAGAGAAATGAATCTGGTTTGAATTTTCCTTATAATGACAGCATACTTTATCTTCACTAACGCTATTTATTTCTAATTTAGATTATTTTAGACTGATGATTTCTTTCTTACCAATTACACAGGCCTGCGATGGTTTTATTGTCTTGATTTTTTTCACATGTTCTACAGTAATTCCTGTACGCTGAATCCCAAAATGATATCTATTTTTCTCCATCATGTACAGATTTTTCACAAAACTTCAAATGTACTTTTACATAAGTGAATCATTTTCATCGAAATCGGGTCACATTTTGTTATTCTTAAATGTTGACAACTACTGGCTATAGATTTCTCTAGACCAATCGCGACGTGAGAGTCGTATTGATCATTCTAGAACCCAAACAAAACGAACATAATCATAAACAAATTTACATTGTGGTAAACTAAATAATAATAATGGTTGGAGACGGCTTGAATGGGTAATGAAGAAAAACTTTAATATAAGTTTAACATAACAGCAAATGTACAACGTTTCGACAAGGTTTTATCATCATCAGGTGCCAAAGTGGGTTCCTCGTCATCGAATTTAAATAATAATCTGATCTAAGTAAGAGTTTTTCCCGATTTGTAAAAAATGCTTGCGGGATAGAATATAAAAGAATATTATTTTCGAAATCTGCGTAACTGAATATGGAAAATCCGTTATTAATTAATAACCGAAACAATTTTTATGAAGTTTAAAATCGCAGACCTGTGTTATCTGTTGTGCGCTTAAAACAAAAACTTACGCTTTACCTTAAACAAATTAATCAGTTACATTGTTTATTCGGTCTCACACAAAGTTTAATTGTAACGTTAAATACGTTACAACATATGTATAAACTCGAAAAATATCCTAACTTTAACTTGTATCTGGATGTCAAACAAACCTTTCATTGGTTATTTTCACGAAATATTTTTGGACAGGGTAAGTTTATAAAAATAACGATAATAATAGTAAAAAAGGTGTCGATTTATCAGCACAATGTTTAATTTGCACCATTAATCCAGTAATGTATTGCATAACGGAAGATATAGCATGTTGTACAGCTTTGGACTTTCTGGTCAAGTTAGTAATGGAGTGTAATTTAGCCGGGATCAGGACAACAAAATGAGCCCAGTTCTCTGTCGAAAACGCCAGCTGGTTTAAATTACTGTTTCGATTCTATCATCGATGGCAGATTACCACTACCAGGGAAATCATTAATTGATGTTCTAGCTTAATGAAACCATTAACAAGTAATTAAAGCAACACGAAGGAAACTGTGAGCTAGCAGATGTTAACTGTGAGGCACGATATCCGAAACGAAATTATACATATATCACTTGAAACGTGCATAAATTATTTTATCTTTTAATCATC